ATAGCTCTCAGATCTAGAAGGTTAAAGCAAGTAAGACCTTCTGGGAGAGGAAAGCACTGGGAGAGGAAAGCACTGACGTGGTCTCTTTAAACCTAGTGATCTTGCCAAACCAAACTGAGCCCGAGGGTTTTGAGGAAACCAGAGTACTAACTCTGTCTTTGTGCAAAGTTTTCTTTTTTTTTTTTTTTAGATTTATTTATTTATTATTTCTGAATACACTGTAGCTGTCTTCAGACACACCAGAAGAGGGCATCAGATCTCATTACAGATGGTTGTGAGCCACCATGTGGTTGCTGGGATTTGAACTCAGGACCTCTGGAAGTGCAGTCAGTGCTCTTAACCACTGAGCCATCTCTCCAGCCCAAAGTTTTTCTTGATACTTAATGTAGATTTCACATTCATTTCGATTTAAACATTATTCATCTTGAGTTATTTCTCAAACCCTTGAAAGTGGTACATCACATGCTCCAGCCCGCTCTTGTCTATGTTAATCTATAAGAGAACAAAACTTCAGAAAAGATACTGAATACATGGAAATTATTGTTCGGATAATAGTGACATGATCAATCTTCTTTTTAATTTTTTTTTTTATTTTCCACTTATTTATTATGTCTGTGTTTGGTGTCATAGTACTTACGTGGAGGTGAAAGTAGAGTCTCTGGGATTTGAACTCAGATCTTCAGGCTAGGCTGTACCTGGTTTTACTTGATAAACCGTCTTGCTAGCCTGAAAGATCTTCCAATACTTAACATGTAATCTTAAGAAAATGAAAAGAAAGTGAAACTTCATAGTTCCACACTAGATATCACAGACACAACCATTTGGGCAGTAATTACTCCTTTACGCAGTTAAGAACTAGCATTCTGGGAATATTTTGAAGTAGATGCAGAAAACTTACCCTTACATATATAATGGTCTGAAAGTCTGTCAGGAACTCAGTTGACTTTTTAAAATAATTAAAGTATTAAAGATATTAAAGTACGTATTAACATACCATAATACTTTACTGTATATAGTACCCTGAAGGCATCTTAGATCATTGGCAGTCATGTGTTTAAGAAATGGAGACTTCACTAAAAATTAAATTTCCCTCCGAGATAGCTGAGAAGTCTTACTAGTCACAAAGGCTTATAGAATATAAGAATTATATCATCAATATGGGTAACTAATTTTTTTTTGTACATGAATTATCCAACTAAAAGACTACCTGTACTTCACAGTTGTATAGAAAGTCCATGACTTCCTGACTTCCATCCTTTTGATCCCCTCCCTCCTCTTTTCTCTCTTGTTCTCCCCTCCTTTGTGTGAAGCAGAAGGAGCCCTCAGGAAGAGCTCAGTCAGCCAGCCGCTCATCATCTTGTCTTCTTACTTACACAGCTGTGAGGAGAAACTGCCTGTTGTACGGGGTGCCTCCTCAGCCTGTGGTGAGTTATCACAACAAGGATTAAAACAGAGAGCTCTTATTTTTAAATTACTCTGGGAGGTTGACTTGTATACATATTTATTAGAATTTCTCCACTGCAGGGAGGGTAGGGGAAAGAAACTTGAGAAGCAAAAGAGAAATCTGTAGGAATGGGGTCGCATTTAAAGTGCTTTGTATTTCTATTGCTGCCTGTTTAATTTCCCCACCATATCTACCCGAATTTGTTATAGAAACATTGATACCTTCACGGTAATAAACCTTCTCATGACTCCATATCAGTGCCAATGTATCCGCCCATTTCTGTGTTTACTGTATCTCTCCTTCTCTGGGATGGATGCTTAGTGTCCGTAGCAGGGCTGGGCCACATCAGCAATACATGTCCACGCTAGACTTCACTTACTTTCTTCCCCCTTACCCAGGACTTCCTCAGCTCCCTGCTGCACAGGAACTCTCTATCCACAAAAAAAGGCTGAATAGTTACCCTGTGATAGTAATTCAGGACACACAATATTGGATGATAAAATAGTACTATCAATATTTTTAGAGATTTGTTTGCTTTATGTGTATACGAATGTAGCGGAGTACATGCACTATGTGTGTGCAGGTGCCCTCGGTTGTCAGATAGGGCATTGGATCTCCTGGAGCTAGTGTGACAGGCAGCTGTGAGTCACCCAGATACTGGGAATCAAAGCTGTGTCTTCTGCAAGAGTAACTTGCATTCTTGGCCACTGAGCCATCTCTCCAAGCTTCTTAAAAGCCTCAGGCTACCAAATGGGACTGAGGAAAAGGTGTGGATTCTGGCCTGACAAGGCAGTTCCTAAACTGAACAGAGAAAAGCATCCCCCCTGCCCCCCACCCCCACCCCGTGCTTTCTCTGCAGATCTGACACCAATTCAGTGTCAGGGGTGTGGCACATGCAGTAACTGGCTCCGAGGTCTATCAACCAAGGTTTGGAGATGAAGTCAAAGATTCAGCATGGCTATTGATGACTGTAGTAGACTGTTGGGATTAAGAAAAAAAAATCAAAATCCTCTCGTATTTAAAGTGATGAAAGCCTACCCTTCTGTGCTGCCTTCTAGGGGTTTAAGCTGACATTCTTCCTTCACATAGGAAACCAAAGATAGACTCCTTAGAAATACAATGAGGCTCATCGGCAGCATCTACACGCTTTGTAACATCATTATGTCAGCGGAAGCCTGGGCTCCAAGGCCGACAGGTGAAAGGGAACTGATCTCCAACTGCTCCAACATGGCTTTAAGGATGGTTCCCCCAGATGTGACCCCAGCCACAACCATACTGGATTTATCCTACAACGACCTCTATCAATTCCAGAGCTCAGATTTCCACTCTTTCTCCAAACTGCGCGTTCTGATCCTGTGCCACAACAGGATCCAACAGCTGGACACCAAGATCTTCAACCTTAACAAGGAGTTAAGCTATTTAGACTTGTCTTACAACAGACTAAAGTCCATCATTTGGTCTTCCGTGGCAGATCTCAGACATTTAGATCTTTCTTTTAATGACTTCGATACTCTGCCTGCCTGTGAGGAGATTGGCAACATGCCACATCTGGAAACCCTAGGTTTGAGCGGGGCGAACATACAAAGATCAGATCTCCAGAAAATTTCTCATTTGCATCTCAGCACTGTCTTGTTAGGGCTGAGTACTCTGTCCCACTATGAAGAAGGCAGCCTGCCCATCCTAAACACGACAGCGCTTCACATCGTTCTACCAATGAACACAAATTTCTGGGTGCTTCTGTGTGATGGAATGAAGACTTCAAAGATAGTAGAAATGTCAAATATAGATGGCAAGAACCCGTTTATAAGTTACGAGGCTCCGCAGACTCTCTCTGTGGAGAACACCAAGGCGTCCACTCTGATTCTCCACAAAGTTGACTTGCTCTGGGATGACCTTCTCCACGTTTTCCAGTTTGTGTGGCGGACATCAGTGGAATACTTCCAAATTCAGGACCTGACTTTCGGAGGGATGGTTCATCAGGACCACGGTTCATTTGATTACTCAAATACCGTAATGAAAGCTCTAATCTTGGAGAACATACATTTCCGAATCTTTTTTATTCCCCAGGATAGAATCTACTTGTTTTTCACCCAAATGGACATAGAAAACCTGACGATATCAAATGCACAAATGCCGCATCTGCTCTTCCCTAGTCGCCCCCAAAGTTTCCAACATTTAAATTTTGCCAATAACATCTTAACAGACGACCTGTTTAAAAACCCTATCCAGCTACCTTATTTGAAAACTCTGATTTTGAGGGGCAACAAACTGGAGACTCTGTCTCTGGTGAGTCTCTTTGCCAACCACACATCCTTGCTTCTCTTGGATCTGAGCCAGAACCTACTGCAACATGAAAACGGGGAGGGTTGTGTGTGGCCAGACACCTTGACCCTTTTGAACTTGTCATCCAATAAATTTGATGGTTCTGTTTTCAGATGTTTGCCTAAAAGTATCCAAACACTTGATCTGAACAATAACAAAATCCGAGCAGTCCCTAAAGAGATTGCCCACCTAAAGTCTCTACGAGAGCTAAGTATTGCTTTTAATTTTCTGACTGACTTCCCTGGGTGCGATCACTTCACACAGCTCTCTATCCTGAACATTGAAATGAATTTAATTCTCAGCCCATCTCTGAATTTTTTCCAGAGCTGTCAGGAGGTAAAGACTCTAAATGCAGGAAGAAATCCATTCCGGTGCACCTGTGACTTAAGAGATGTCATTTGGCTTGAAAAACATTCTGAGGGCCTGTTGGCTGGATGGCCAGACTCATACGCCTGCGAATACCCTTTGAGTCTAAAGGGGACTCCATTAAAAGATGTTTATCTTCCCGAATTAGCTTGCAACACAACTTTGCTGATTGTCACCATTCTGCTGGTTGTGCTGTTTCTGGGTTTGGTTGTAGCATTCTGCATGCTTTACTTTGACATATGCTGGTATCTCAGGATGCTGGGCCAGTACATACGGACACAGCACAGGGTTAGAATTCAAGAGGAGAGTCCGAGAAGTGTACAGTTCCATGCCTTTATCTCCTATGCTGCACAAGATTCAGTCTGGGTGAAGAATGAACTGATTCCCAATTTAAAGACAGAAGACGGTTCTATCTTGCTTTGTCTTTCTGAGAGAAACTTTGACCCTGACAGGAGCATTGATGAAAACATTATAAGCTGTACCGAGAAGAGCTATAAGTCTATCTTTGTGCTGTCTCCCAACTTTGTCCAGAATGGGTGGTGTCATTATGAATTCTATCTCGTCCATCACGATTCCTTCCGGGACAATTATGATGACGTCATTCTCATCTTACTAGAACCCATTCCCTCCTACTGTATTCCTACAAGGTTTTGTAAGCTGAAAGCTCTTTTGGAAAGGAAAGTGTACTTAGAGTGGCCCAAGGACAGGCGCAAATGTGGGCTTTTTTGGGCAAACCTTCGAGCTGCTATTAACGTTAATTTATCAGACACAAGGGGAAGGTGTGAGCTACAGACATTCACAAAGCGCAATGAGGAATTCCAGGGTTCTGCCATCTCTCTGGTAAGGACAGACAGCTTCTAAAATCTGCCACGCTCAGTGAAATTGGAGTCTACACTCACTGTTGAAAGAAAAAATGGATTTTGTTATATCTATTAAAATAAGAATGGTTAATTCCTTGAAAGATTTCTTAGACTATGTCCTCAGAAACAAGTTAGTAAAGGTTTATGTAAATAGGTTCCCAGTCTTGTTCATAATCACGAATTTAAGCACATCTTAAATATCCACAGAACAAGAATTAATGCAATACCTCCCAACATATCTATGTAACAGAATGATGCGTAGCCATTAAAAAGAATGGTGTGGAGACACATGTTATATTAATATGTTAATTTATACATCAAAATCAAATACATCAGCATACTGTATAGAAATTGTGGTTGTGGTCTGTTTGATCGCAAGAACATGTGTTTCCTACATTGTGTGTTTCTATAATGTTTGAAATGCTTAGGCTGAATCTGTATTTGTTTTTTCTTAAATAAACAATAATAACACACACATACTAAAAAAGAAAATAAACCAAACAGAAGACAATTTCTGAAAGCTTGTGGACTTATTTTCCTACTCATTTTGCTTGGTCCTTCCTCTCCATAATTCCTGAAAATTATGTTTAAAGTCGACATGGTGTGTGTGTGTGTGTGTGTGTGTGTGTGTGTGTGTGTGACAGAATGATAGAGATACACTTGCCTAGCACTTATGAAGACCTGGGTCTGATTCTCTGGTACTGCCACAAACTAGCGAACAAAAGCAAAAACCAATACGTTTATTTCTCAGTTAGAAAATTTCTTTTAGCTTAGTCACATGATAACGAGGATGAGGGAGTTAAATATGAGGAGCCCCCATATCTTCTTATTTACACGCATCTTGTCATAAGCCCCATCCGTTATTGGTCCTTCCCCAGAACATCCTTTAAGGTCCTGACCTTACATTTGACATCCTGCCTGATCCTCCGAGACCCAGCACAGATGTCAACTCTTCCTTGAAAGATCTCTTACCCTCCCTGTAAGCTTGATGCCCCCTCATCTGTTAACCACTTTGCACATCTTTCTGTCACGGGACTGCATACACCCATTACAAAAGTTTCCCTGCCTCACTACACCATGGGCTCCCAAAGGGTGGGAGTCTGCTTTCTAGCAACAGTTTGCACTGTTCTGGGCTCAGGAGAGCTCCTCGTGGGTTGCGGACCGCTTGTGGGTTGGCCTGATGGCCGAGTGGGACTTGGCTGGCTTCAAGGTAGGACTTATAATTTGAAGGCAAATTATGGGAAGTGAGGGAAGAAGATGAATAGATTCAGTTCTAATGAGAAGATAGAGAATCTGGAATTGAGGAATTCTTGAAGGTAGCAGCCTTCCTGCAGACCTTGGAATTTGGTCTCTGGTGTGACCTTACTAGTTCTCCTTTCTCATTTCAGCTGATTTTATTTTTAACATTTTACTGATTGTGGGTTTCACATCACGCACCCCATCCCCGCACATCTCCCCATCCCCTCATATCTGTACTTTGTCATTGCAACCTCTGGCCATCCCCCCAAAAAAAACCCATGCAAACAACAACAAAACCAAAACAAAGCATAGAAAGTATCTTGTCTTGGAAGCTGCAGTGTGTCACAGCGTGTCTCACAGTAGATACCTCTGTCTACACATCTTCGCTAGCAAACGTGTATTGTAATGAGTCATTGGTCTAGTTTGAGATCAAGATTGGATCCTCATTGGGACTCCTCCCAGTTATCCTGTTATGGAGATCCTGCAGCTTTGGGTCAGCAGGACTGGCCCTTTTAGGCATCCCAACCATTTGCAGATGATCGACATTTCGGAGTGGGCCAACTCAGAGCCCTGAATCTGGGTATAGGTGGTAGCTGAGCTGGTCGGCATATGGAATCTCCCTTATTCACACCACCAGGGAGAGTTCTCTAGCTCTGATCCAGCCATCATCAGGAGGCAGCAGGATGCAAGACCAGCTCACCTGCTTTCGTGCCCTTGGGGCTGGCTCACCTGCACCCAAACCTCCAGAGCCAGCTCCACTGTGCTGTCCAGGCGAGGTGACCAGTATTACAGCCAATGAGGGGACAGGGCTAGGCTGCAGGGTTATCTCTCTCTCATTCTGAAACTCAGGGATGACTCACCCACACACACCCCCTCAACCAGGGCCAGCTCTACTGTGCTGCCTAGGCAAGGTACAGGGCCCCTCCCCACCCCCCTGTACTGCAGCTGGGGAGTGGCAGGGACGGCTCAACTGCTCTCATGACCCCAGGGTTAGCTCTCCCGACTGCCTCAATTGATTCAGCCATTTTTTTTTAAATCCCACCCTATGGCTTTAAAATAGCCAATGGAATTACGTTAACGCGTATAGAACACAAGAAAGCAAAGCTCGAACAAAAGACTATGTCCTTGGGGCTTGGCTCTTCTGAGCAGAAGTTCAGCCAAGTCTAATCTAGCGTGATTAAAAGCTGTTTCCCTTGGGAAGTGGGGGATTGGTGGTTGGAGAGATGGGTTAGTGGTTAAGAGTAGTGGTTGCTCTCTCAGAGGTCCTGAGTTCGGTTCTCATTACTCACATGGTGGCTCACAACTGTCTGCAATGAATCTAACATCCTCTTTGGGTACACAGACATTGTGTGTGTGTGTGTGTGTGTGACAGAGAGAGAGAGAGACAGAGAGAGAGAGAGAGACAGAGGGAGAGAGAGAGACAGAGAGAGAGAGACAGAGAGAGAGACAGAGAGAGAACACTGTTCTCCTGAAGAAGCCATGGTATCATGTCTGTTTTTCTAAACTCCCAAGACAGTAGTCTAAATCATATGAAACTGCCAAAATTTGGTTGCCCTTACGTAAATAGTCATAGCCACCTATGTTCCATCCCATTTAATCTAAACAAACAACACAAAACAAAACAAAAACTTATAACATTAAAACTGGAGTTTGTATCTATTTCTGTTTCTTATGGTTTGTTTTTATTTTATAAAATTTTCATACAGGTAATTTTGTTTTCATTTGATTCTTTTCTCTTTTTGCTATTATTTATTTATTTATTTATTTATTTATTTATTTATAGGCACATTTCATGTAGCCCAAGGTGGCTCTGAATTCACTATGTAGCCAAACATGACCCTGAACTCTCATCCTCCACTTCCTGAGTTCTAGTACCATAGATGTTTGCTTCTAGTTGGTTTAGTAGGGGTTTTGTTTTGTTTTTGTTTTGTCTTGTTTTGAGACATCCAGCCTGAGGGCATTGGATCTAGACGCCAGATCTTGCTAACATCTTGCCAGAGCTAGCACTGAGGAATTGCATTGCAGCTCAGTGTCCCTTTGTCCCTTCCCTGGAGAGTTTGGCAGAAAGAAAAACCCAAAGAAGTCACAGTGGGGTGGGGCAGTGGCGGAGCTGAGGCTAATACACTAATACACTGTGGCTTTTGGCTTTTGGAGAAGTGAAACCAGACCCTGTAGAAGAGGCTGCAAACCTTGAGTATTCCACATGAGACACCTCCCTTCCAAGACTAACCAGGATTCGGCTATTTCAGTTCTAAAACCACATATGGTTTGTAAATTTTACCATTACTGTGCGTCTGTGCGTGATAGAGGGGCGTGGCACGTGCTGTGGTGTCTGTGTGGAGTTGATTCTCTCCTACCCTTGTGAATGTGATTGGAAGTCAGGTTGTGAGGCAGGCTGAGCAAGTGCTTCCCCACTGAGCCCTGATAGGTTTTATTACAATTAAAACAACAACAACAACAACAACAATGACACGTCAGGCTTAGCTCTCAGCCCCTTCTTGTCTCTGCAGCTGGATGGATTAAATAATTAGAAAGTCCTTTCTTAGAACCTGAGATGCTATCCTGATCCCTAAAAAGCCTGGTGGTGACTGTCACAGCTTACGGCCAGACAAGAAGAATTATACGTGAGCTAAATGCTACTTACTTCTGGATACACATAATCTCCAGCCTCGGGAAAGCTCCATGCTGTGTTTTTGCTCAAAGAACTTTTGAATTCCAGCAGATGCCCACTCTGCTGGATCATGAAGTAAAGGGGAAGTGTGCATACAAACCTTGTGCCATCTTGGAAGCCATCTGAACCACTCCGATCACGTCAGAATGCTCCAGACCCTGTGAATGGGCAGGATCCTTTTCACTTGCCTGTCATTTGTCACTCTGGAGTCCCGCCCCCACCACAAACCAGGAGTCTGAGCTCTCCATTCACATGGTTGAAGCTGGCCTGTGGACAAAAGTGATCGGTCCTGCACTTCTGCGCTGCTCAGAATGATCTGTTTCTACTCCCTCAGAAAATATGGTAGAGAATCCAACTTCGATAGAACTGTCATCCTCAAACTCAGCAGATGCTGAGCAGGGCGGGGCTCTACATCTACCTATGGCAAATGCCCCCTGACCTCCCTTTCCTCTCTACCAGAGTGGGACACCCCAAAAGAGCAGACAGGGCATTGAAAATGAGTGAGAAATCAGATTATCCGATATAATTTTCCATTTCAAATGAAAAAAAGGGAGGGCTTTAAAATTTGCCCTTAAACACCTGTGCTAATTCTTCTCCTCCCAGGCCACAGCAAAGTAGCCTTTACCTCTTCTATTTGATTCCTATGATGTCCAGCCTTGCACGGTAATTCTAGAGGTGAGAGCCCTGCGTTGGTCCCTTGGAATATCCTGCCTATAGCCAGTCATTTGCAATTTGGGCTCTCTCTAGAGAGCCTCCTGCTGTTAAAGTATCCTGTGTTCCTTGTCTGATTCCCATTGTCAAAACCACACTGTCATTTTATCAGTCACATGCTATGGAGTCTGACATTCAGAACAACCAAAGGGTGGTCCATCATCTCGTTGGTCCATAATCCAGAACATATTGTCATGTAAAGGATAGAGGATGAAGGGCATCCTGGATCCTCGTGGTGATTTGCCGGGAAATGTAATCACTGGTACCCTGCTAAGCTTACTTCTGTGCTCTTAGAGTTGTTTCCACCTGTGTTGCTGTGCCGCTTGATAAGCACAGTTCTCCTTGGGCTCCTTGAGGGACCCCAGCTCTAATGATGCATCTTGAAGT